TGTTTTAATGGAAATAAGTTAAGAACTCATCTCAAAATAGCAATAATCTATATACATATGTAATGTAGAATAATTGAAATGTGACTGTATTTTACAAAATACTAGTCTACTAAAACACAGCCAAGACAAGTTACTTTGTACAGACCAAAGGTTAGTTTTATGTTATTGGATATGGTAACATGAGTACACATGTGCCGCATCATTGCAACTTCTGTATTGTTAGCCAGGCATGGCTGAAAGGTCAACATAATGAAAATAATAAATATATATAAATGTATAATGTTGTGAGATTAAGCTATTTAGTCTAAACATTTATGTTTTCGTGTTATAATTTGTGTTCACTCTAAAATGAAAGATGCATAATTTATGTTTATTTATTTATTTCCTGATTTTTTATGGTGGTTGCAAGATCGTTCAAATCTCCCAAGCCCATACAGAGATTAATTACTGAAAATAACAGATAAAATACTTTTTTCTTAAGAAACATTTGATAACTATCTGGACATTATAAAGCTTTTACATGTAAAATTTGAAAATGTGCTGATGCATAAAAGTATTTTTAATCTTAAAATGAAAATGACTTTTCATGTTAAATAGGCAACATGCAAAACGAAAAAAACAGGCATGAGAAAAACATTGCTTTACAAACATTATGACTTAATAAAAAATTCTATATTTTGCGTATGAAAGCACTGTAATGTTTACTGATAAACTGCCAAATTTTGTTAACATTCGCTTACTAATTTAAAAGTTATAGCATGAAAACTACAACAAGCACAAAATGGTTATGAGCCCGTGCTGAAAGAGTTAAACCCATTGACAGTTGTTTCAGGTTAATTACAATTCACAGTCTATTTCTGAGACCATAGAACATTTTAAAAGATTTGGCACCTACGGGGGGGGGATTATTATTTTGATTAATAAGTGTGGTGGCTTTTAAAACAGTACTAAAATTCTGAGAAGATGAATTTTAATATTGAGAAAGGTAAAATTATGTATCAAAATTTTCAACAACATTTAAAAGATGAGAATTGCTGAATGTTTGGCTGTGAAGAAAATTGGAAATAACTTGTTTCTATTTACAGAATTTTAAAGAATAATAAGTTATTGGAGCTATGGTAACAGGAAAAAAATAATCATTTTCTTTCATTTTAGTTTCTGAGAAAAGTGAATGTTCCTTTGTTAATGAAGTTTCCATGATTTTTCATTGTTACACATGTTAAACATATACCATACAAATAACCAGTTATGGACTGTGCAACCTTATTCTTGATGTCAAGACATACACTGTCATAGGTCTCAGTATATCTAAGTGTTCCTATGGTTTCTGCTGGAAAATTGTTTTAGGTCTAACCTAGTAAGTGTTGTGACCATATTAATCATATGAAGATGTTAAGGTATGTAATAATCCATGTTCCCTATTTTTTCGGGCTAGGAATGACTAAATGACATTGGTAGGATTGACATTTCAGAGTTTACATACCATATTCAACAAGGTTACCTTCCAATCAACTTGCAACTGTCCTTCTATGAACATTTCTATCATATCTACATTAATGAATAAAGAATTTTTGCTTTACAGCAAAACCCTGTTGTGTAGTTTCTTCACTTAATTAAGTTACGATTAAAACTGAAAACACATTGAAATGAATCTCTTAATTCTAAAATCACCCAAGAAATCCAAATATGGACTTTATAACATTTTTTAGCATTGTTTGTAAACTACTATTTTACCAAATTGCTTGTAGGTCCATGACTTTGTAGGTTACATGATTTTTAATAACACGAGTCATACAAAAACATGTAACCAAAAATCACCAATAATGCAATCATATTCTCAGTGATTACTGCTGGAGTTTCTTATGCATATTGCATAGTAAATGATTGAGTTCAACAAATTTTTTAGTCCGTATACTACATTGATTTTTTTGCAACAATCAAAGGCATAAGGCATGTAAGCATAAGACTTCAAGCCAGTGAATAAGTTTTCCTACTGAGCATAAACTTAAGAGGCTGGAAATATGAACAAATGAGGGTTGCTATTGTCTCTTGCAAGATGCAGGTTTTGAGGTCATAAGAAATCTGTACAAGATCAACATGTTGCTGCCAATCACTAGACTCAAACCACAGTACTGATCACTTTCACCTGTGGCCAGGAAAACTAATAAAGGCTGTCTTGAGAGGTGGGCTGTCAAAACCAAGGGCAACCAGAAAGCTGTAAGTTATGCAGAGCATGATAAAAACAATGATTTGCCAACTGAGAGAGAGACATCATGTGTTCTTAAGAATGCAAAAGTCAAAACAAAACTGTACTCAAGGTATAGTGGGTGTCTCAGCTGCATGTTGGCAGAAACATCACTGGAGGTTATCTATATGTGTTATTGCATCACAGATCAACATCAGTGAAGTGAAGCAGATGACGCTACGGAACACTGAGTCCTCTACATTAAGTGTTCCAAACAAGCAGCTGTCTAAAAAACACTTGAAATCAAGATCAAGTGTGCAATGCCCAATGTTGAGCCTGCATAACCCAGCTGAGAAGATATTTCCAACCACCTAAGTCACAGATCACAAGTATATCTTCATTGATAAGCTTATAGATGGTTTGCTGAACAATGCAGCACCATATAGGTATTAGTTGCACTTACACTATGACAGAGGCTGATTCTGTGGTTACTAAGTTTAACATAGTTACTCCAAGCCTTTTGCAAAAGGAGAATTCCAAATTCCATCTGAAATCACTGGTTTAGGATTACGAAGAAAATTTGAACACAACACAGAATCAAGGTTGCTGGTTCAGTTTGCCAGTGTGTTTGTAGGGTTAGAGCTTTATTTAAATCTGACAACAGTAAAACATTACCATATAGACTTTCCTAGAACACTAAGGGTATGACCAGTGTTGGGACTGAGTGGTTGCTTTGTTGACCCCAATAATTAATATAAAAAAAAAGGCAAGGCATGTCAAGGGTCTGTATTGCTGTGAATATATGAATAGATGAATGGCAAGATGTGATGGTAAGTAGATCTGGCTTCCAGATACTGACAAGCTGAACTGAATGAAAAAGATTAAAAATGCATTCAGCATTTGAGAAGATCTGTATAATTCACCATTTTTGTGCAGTGGATGTAGCTTACAATGAGAGGGCTGCAATGAGAAAGATCTCATCTATGCAACTGAAATTTTGGTTTTTCACTTTATGTTTCAGTCTGGTGCTTAGAATCTAAGAATAGTTTTCCACCAGATAAAAAAATCAGGCTCAAAACTGATGTCAGGAAAATATGCACTAGTGAGTACTCAGTCATATTAACCCTATATGCAAGGATGGAGGTCAAAGTGCATGTCACAATTTTTACCATGTTACATTCAAGTAATTTTATTTTTGCAAAGTGTGGGTCTCCACTACTGCTGATAGTAACTCACTTCAAAAGTCAATCACTTTGTTATAAAAATAACTGTCTTAGTTAAGAGACTAGCATGTATTTAACAAAATCTAAAATTTCTATCCTTTCATCCTACTGCCTTCAAAACATAGTACAAAGAAATCAGAAACCTTTATCCAACTGATCCATAGGCTAATCAGAATAAACTTCGTGATCACTTATTACTCTTCTATCTTCTTTTCTCAATAGAAAATATGAGATATTAACCAATTCCCATAAGATAACCCTTCCACACCCAAAAATCATCCTAATAGCCATCTTCTAAACCATTTTCAATTAGTCAATATCCTTTCATAGTCTATAAATAGACCCAAACTGTACACAGTATAGTATTCCAAGTGAAGAGGGTTAACTAGTGACTTGTACAGATGTAACTATCTCTTTTGACTTGTAATCAGTATATTCATAAAAACACTCAAGATTCTATTGGCTTTACTACTATCAACAGAGCACTGCCAAATGGCTTGAGTGTCTTACAAGTTATATTAAATAAGTAATCTAAATCATAATAATCCAAATGCATTACCTTACACTTACCATAATTAAAGCAACCAGTTATTTGTAGATCTGTGCTGAAGACATACTTCACTATACCACTTGGAAGTAAATTGTTCAAACTATCCAGTGCATGCTTCCTAAAGTTATGAATCCAAACCAAAATGACTGAAACAAACATCTGCTACAGATTTTCCACGGCACTTTTCCATTGTCAATGAATAACATAAGCTTAATCTAGGCATGGGTAATACCTCACTTGTTTCATTCTTAAACTTATCTTTACATTATGCTCTACCAAAATTTAATGTTTTGTCAATTACACTTAGTTTTCCTACCTCATGAGCTTATTTGTTTTTGAAAGTTTCAAATTATTAAAAATTTTCCTGTCTTTTGAAAGAAAGTGAAGTTTCTATAAATTTATAGATCAGAACCTCGTCATTAAGGCCACCTTTCTGACTGTATCCAAATGCCCTCTATAGCAAGGTGCCCTTAATATCAAAAATGAGCTATGCAAAGCTGGATTCCATATCATATTAAATTCCTGGATTTTAAGGTCCCCATTTTGTATGGTGAATGCAGAATACCAGTGTTTGAGAGTTGCACATTGCCATAACACAGAGCATTGTCACCAGGAGGTCTCATGATAATTGCCCACTTTATCAGGTGCCTATCTAGAGAACAAGTCTAAAGACACTGCCTTTAATCCAGAATATTGAGGTACCCAATACAGCAAGATTTATTTTGGTCACAAACAGTAGAAAAAAAGAGAGACTGAAAAGGTCTGCCCTTAATGGCAAGGTGCCCATTAATCAAGGTTCTACTGTATAAAAAAACTTACCCAGAGAATAAGTTCTTAAAATTTTACATGTTTATGTGTAGTGAAGAGAACCTTAAAGAATAATTACATTTTGGTTAAGATAATTTTCTAAGAATCTTCTTACCATTTTACCTTGATTTGTTAAGCACTCTAATCTAACATGAATAAAATAGTTAAAATTTTGATAACTTGCTATATTAAGAAAGATTAATGATAAACATTACAGTACACATAGCATACTTACGGAAAAACAAAGAAGAGAGCTGTAGCAGAAAGAAGCAGAGTCCATGCACACAATGCAGGCAAAAACTTTGTTACAGATTTTCCACTGCACTTTCCCATTGTCTCTGAATAGGGTAGTCTTAGTTTTGTTTTTTACAACTTCCAAGGTCAATCTGGGCCTATAAATAAGGCTTGGCTAATACTTCTACTTTCAAGTTTCTGTTTCATTTTTAAGCTTATGGTTACATCCATCCAATTCAATTAAGCTGACATTTGGTTGGTCTTTGGCTTGAATCCAACTGTAATTTATTAGATATTTTCATTTTCAACTTAATCATTAAGACAATGTTATACTGGTATATACACATTAATAATAGAGATAAGCAAATATTGTAGTTATTTTCCGTAATAATAAAATAAAAAAAAATACTTTATTAACAATTTCAAGGTAACACTAACAGCGTGAAACTAACAAATCTTTCAATTGCATCAATTCCTGTCATACGAAAAATCGAACTGTTCAACTGAATAAATAAATATGATCTGTACTATTGGTATTATATTAACTGGTATTAAATTGGTGGTAATATGGTAACTTACGTTATAATTTATATTATAATGATGCAAGTTCTACAATTTAAATTACAGTATCACTAACACTAACGTTAAAACCTAAATATTAAAAATCAGGGAGAAAACAGTTAGTACTATTAGTATTACTAGTAGTAGTAATACAAACAGTAGTACCGATATTAGCGTTTTCAGTTTAGTATATAATTAATCTTAGTGCACATAAATGACGATTAAATTGATATTATAATTACTATTTTACAGTTTTTACTTTGCAGTTTACCATTACCAGAACCACTGCACTTTTGCGAAATCGCTTAGAAAATCAATACATTTGATTAGCCTGAACTGTAGTTTAATAATAATCTACTTAAAATGTGGTATAACGTCTATAATGAAATAATTATTTTGAGGTAAAAATCCTGCACTTCAACATTACTTACATATAGAAATATCTAAGACTACTCAAAAATTAAAAATACAAACTTCTAACATCCAAATACTGAGATTGTTACACCACCTCAGTTAAAAAGTAACGGAACGCCACAAGTGGCATCAGAAAACACTGTCACTCAGAGCCTTAATTCAATTTAGTACCATCTCTCGTAAACCAAGTAAATGTTTCTTGCGGTGTTATTACAACGAAAAAAATATGAGATAAAATAGAAAAAGAAATATAAACAATAAAAGCAACATTGCAATATTGTTCACTATTATAAAGTTGTTTTTTGATTTAATTTCAAGAAAACGGAGTTTTTCGGGTTTTTTCGAAGAAGAATTTAAAAGGTTAACGAAACAAATTCACACACATACATGTGTACGTAGATTATTTTGTACATACTCAGCAAAAATTGACTATATGTACAATAATTGAATCTCATTATAATTGAGATTGCAATGTATACGTCTAAAATTCGGATCTGGGTAATATTTTTATAACTAGGCTATTTTTTCATAGCTGAGCAATAAATAGAACAATTGAAATTTCGACAAAAATAATATGTTTCAGATTTAACCAATAAATATTTTTTTAAAAAAGAAGTAAGGTACAAATATAAATCAATCAAAAAACAAACTAAAAAAAAATATTTGTTTTTCTTTTGTGAAATTCTCATGAGTGTTGCAACAAAAAAAAAGCAAGGCACTTTCATTAATAACTGTGTCTACAAAGAAATACTCCAATAAAATATATTTTGTGATGTAATGCTGTGATGATAGCTCATATTTAAACTAAAATTTCAGTAAAATACTTTTTCTCGTGGATGGGGCTCGGCATGGCCAGATGGTTAGGGCACTCGACTCGCAATCTGCGGGTCGCGGGTTCGAATTCCTGTCACATCAAACATGCTCGCCCTTTCAGCCGTCGGGGCATTATAATGTGACGGTCAATCCCACTATTCGTTGGTAAAAGAGTAGCCCAAGAGTTGGCGGTGACTGGTGATGACTAGCTGCATTCCCTCTAGTATTACACTACTAAATTAGGGACGGCTAGTGCAGATAGCCCCCGTGTAACTTTGCGCGAAATTCATAACAAACAAACTTCTCGTGGATGGTGAACGTTATTGAATGTAAAGTATGAGTACATTGTTGTAGAACTGTCAGACAATTCCAGAAAAGGCCGCAGGCCCAATAGCCTTCCTCAGGAACTAGCAGTTATACCTGCCCAGATGGCGAGTATTTCTGCTAGCATCAAGTAATGGAGAAACGTAATGTACACTGAGAGGTCACAAGTAAATAGACACCACCTTTTCTGAAAACATTAAATTTGTCAGCCATATTCACATGAATTGATATATTTATAATTTAATTAATATCCTTTCGCTTCGTGGAGTTCGTTG